CTGGAAATTGAGCACTTACTGAGTGGAGATCCCTCTGTGATCATTTCTCCCTGGTTGGCAGACCCAATGCCAGCATTGATGGCTTTAGAAGCCATCGAAACATGTCACTTTGAGGGATGTTCCATCTGTATTTGTGTTTCTGGGGCATCCACAATTGGGGACAGACTTTGAGCTCATTTTTTGGTCCTGGCTTGTGATGGATTCTGTTGAGTTGGAGTGGGAATGCTGTGATTGGCATGGCTGCATTGAATCTTGTGACAATCACAAGGGATGCACAATTTTCCAGGGTTCTTCTCACATTTGACTTTGCACCTGATGCACAACTTGCAGGCATCAGGGTTGGGGGGAGGAGTTGTTCTCACAGCAGTTGCAGCATGGCCATATAGTCCATCCAATGGTGGATGAGGCTTGCATTTTGATTTGCCTTGAGTGGGAATGTCATCTTTTTTGTCGGTTTCCATCATTACCTGCTTCCTAGGATGGGATCAACCTCTGGATTGATGGGACTTCAGTGTCATGGCCACTTTGCACTTCTGCCTCCCTTGCACTGGTTCTTCCTTGTCCTCCTCCTTTTCTGGCACCTCATCTTCACCCTCATTGTCCACTTCCATCCTGCATGAGCTCTCAGCTACCATCTGCTCAACCTCTGCCTTGGTAGCATTCTGTTTTCCTTTGTCATTCTGAGGCATTTTGGTCTCATGAGCAGGTGGTGGTGGTGTCAGCAGAAGATGTGGCATAGGGAGGCCCAAGCAGTGGTAGTCATATCAGTTCTTGACAATGTTGAGCTACTTGTGGTTGGCAATGTCAGTTTTGGCAGGGGAGAGGGTGGTCTTCCACTCAGGCCATGGGTGGTTGATCAAGCTAATGTCTTCATGCCACTTTAAGAACATGTCCATGCCAATGAGGGTCATGGGAACCTCATCCATCCTAGTGATGAGGTTGTCAAGAATGCATTCTGGAGTTATGGTAGCCTCCCAGAGTTTCTCCCTGTCCCTTGGAATTAAATTCTGATGTCACTATGCCTACCAATTACCATACCATAAATTTTCTGCACTGTTGTTTTCCACCTCAGTGACTACTTCATACACTGAGGAGGGTATAGCTAGATTCCCACTCATTTACTTGGTACTGACATAGTGTGGAGACTCATACCTCCATTAGGTTATGAGCCCCACCGTCACACTCTAATTCTGAAAGAGTTATTACACAGCAAGAATACCCACTATGGTGAAAGACGATCATTCCTTACAAGTCCCAACCCTAAATGTGGATGGAAGCAACTGGTTATATTACAAGGCTTGGGTTGAATGGGCTGTCAGCTTGAAAGGGCTGATTGGACACCTGACTGGCTTGGATGCGAAACCAGAGGACCCTTCAGTGGGAAAAGACTCCTCCTGGAAGCCCACAGCCACTGAGCAAAAACTTGTCAGTGAATACCCAGAAAAACTCCAGCAATGGGCAAAGGATGACAGATATGTCAAGCAAGTGATCACTGTGTCACTCCCAGAATCATTGTTCCTTTGAGTTCTGAAGGAAGAGACTGCAAAGAGTGTGTGGGGTGTCCTCACTGATCTTTTCCAAAACCACTCTCACATTGTCACAATCAATCTTCAGAGAAAACTCCAAGAATCCTGCTGTGCAGAAAAAGGCAATGTCCATGCTCACTTTGAGAAGATGCATGCACTGTGTGAACAACTTGCTGCACTTGGACAATCTATCACAGACAATGACTTTGCAGCAATCATTCTCAGTTCACTTCCTGCTTCATATGACTCCAACCTTGCAGCTATGACATCTTCAGCCCTAGTCATGCAAAAGGACCTATCTCTGGACTTTATAATCAAAGTAATTTCTGATGAATATGATAGGCACAAAACACAGACAAAGAGAGGGAATTCTGGAAACTCTGGAAATTCCAAAGATGCAGCCTATTCAGCAAAGGATGGAAAGAAGTCTACTTGTGAAAATTGCAGAAAGAAAGGTCATATGAAAGAGCAATGCTGGGAAGAGGGTGGCAGAAGAGCTGGGCAAGCACCCAAGTGGTTCCAGAACAAGGGAAAAGGGAAAAAGAAGGAGAAAGGCTCTGGAAAAGCAGCCACTGCAGCCAGTGCATCAGCCAGCTCGAGCACACAGACCAGTGCTGACTCCAAACCCAATGGAGTTTGGCTAGTGCACCCACAGGATGATGATTGGCTAACAGAAATCATGGAGGAAGAAATTCCAAACCCCCAGGATATTGTTATTGACAAAGAAGATGCATATATGAACACCTTTGATCATGCTCTGCTTGCAGGCAAAAGCCTAAATTCTGCAGAGGAGACCATCCTGTTTGACTCTGGCACTTCACATCATATGTCCTCCTACCACAGCAAATTCCTAGACTACAAGCCAATTATTCCCAAAGCTATTACCACTGCTGACAATCACACCTTCCATGCCATCAAGAAAGGCAATCTTGCAATCTCACTCCCAAACAGCACTGTGCAAACCCACATTCAACTCAAGGACATGCTCGATGCCCCCAAGATGGGAACTATGCTTGTTTCTGTTAGCAAACTTGACATTGCTGGGTATGCAGCATTATTCTGAGACAAGCATTGTCATATTTTTGACACTCAAAAAAAGAAAGTAGCCAAAATTCTGATGCAAAAAGGGCTCTACTGCCTCAAATGAGCTTGTCATGCCTTTGCAGGCCTAGCTAAGGCCATGGAATCCCTCACCATGGAGGAGATACATGTCAGGCTCAACCATATCACTCCTGAAGCCATCTGGTGCATGCTCAAGGATGGCACAATCACCAGAATTAAACTGGACAAAGTGCATTCCACCATGGGTGCATGCAATTCATGTGAATATGCCAAAGCAACTCAGAAACCCATCAGGAAGGAGCATTGTCACACACCAAAGGTGTTTGGTGAGGTGGACATGGATACAGCTGATGAATGGAGATGAAGACCATAGCCCTCATGCAAAGAAGGACAGCCAGGAATGTTGGCAGTCATCCCTTGCACAAGAACAAGTCATCAGTGCCAGAGAAAAAGAAAGGGAGTGAGTTAAGTGCTGGCTAAAGTTCTGAAGTGCCCGTGTATGGCATTCTGGTTTTCAACATATCTCCACCATTTCTGCAGATACAGAGACCATTCCCACACTCGCTTGTAGTGCTCAGCCACATGATCTTACCTTCCAAAATTGGAAAGGATTTGCACACTCCACACATTTCTACAGCACTCCCTCCAAAAGATGCTCATTTCACTAACTTCTTCTGATATGGCCACCTCTACATCAATCATTTTGCTTGTCCCCTTTGCTAGGGACCATGGCTACATATATCTACCAGGAGTTCCTACCAGCTTCCATCCTGAAGCATCCTGGTACATCCCACCCTTGTCTGTGCCCTCTCAGCCCATCCAACTTGGACAGTGTGTTCTTTTTGTCAGTATGACCTCTAGGAGGATGTTCTTTGGTCGCCTCAGGTCTGTCATTTGCTTGGAAAGGTCTTATGTGGTTGTTTCAGTCTCTCCAGTCCAAGAAGCATATGGATCCTTCTTCCCTGCTCCCTGCAATGTCTTCATACTGGTCTCATCCATCATTCTTCCAAGATTGCAACAGCTACAGTATAATCTACTGTTCTCCACTCTCCCTGGTTGCATCCATGACGAGTATGATGCACATCTTGCCTCCTTGTTGCAAGATACAGCAGAAGACACTCCCCCTTCATCCTCTCTTCCAACAGAGCCTCATTCATGAAGTTTTTATTTGCTTCCCTGAGAGGATGGTTTGGGGGGGAAAGTTGTGATCCCCTATGCTCCTGTCACCCCACAGACCCCCAAAGCTTGACCCCTGTTGACATCTGACTCACCCTGTCCACTTTTGGATGTACTATATTGGCATCAGATCAGCGCTGCCTCTCTGTCATCCCACCTTGGCCTAGATATGATCTCTTTAAGATGTGACATGCACAGCCTCCCCCTAATGCAATTCCAGTGTGCTTTCTTGGTTCCTGACATTGCTTGACTCATACTTTGATGTTCTGACTGTCTTTGACTCACCTATTGCCAATACTTACCAATCTTTTGACTTTGCTTACTGATTCTTTGCTTTTTGGCTTGCTAATCCTTACCAATGCTTACCAATGCTTTCCAAGATGATTACCCATTGCTTACATTCCTTACTCATCAGTTACCAATCACTTACCAAGTGTTTGCACCTTGTTTTCCAAGGGCAACACCCCTGTACTGTATATAAATCACTGTACTTAGATAGCAAAAGAAAAGAAGACATCAGAGAGCCCCTCTTGCTTGCATTTTATCATCACTCAGTAATTCATTCAGCAGCTTCAATAGTTGAGACTTTATTAAGGGTCTAACTATCGTCTACCTCACTTATCCTTGTCTATCATCAATATACTTTGCTCCAAGCCCTCCCTGAGCTCAGTGCAGCTTAGGACATTGAATTAAGCCACCATCCATCCTCCTGTAGGCTGACAGCAGTCTACCCTATTGCTTTCTATCGCATTCTTGCTCCCTCTTTGTCAGGAGCACCCCCAACCCTCAGCACTTGTCCTTGAGTGTTGTAGCTCGCAAAAAACCACCCAAATCAAAGGTTCTACCATCTAGGTACTGCATAGGCACACCACCACTCACTCTTTTTGTCTTTTGTGTTGGTTTTGGTTGGTTTTCACCACTGAACCACACTTTGACTCACAGTGAGTCAAGTCCTGAACATGCTCAGAAAAAGACAGCAACCATAGCAATGAGGATGGGCAAGGTTGACTCCATTAAATTGGTGAAAAATGCTGATGGAGAGATTTGGATAGGAGAAATCACAGGCCTTAGCCAGGACCAACTACAAAAAATGGTTTGCATATTTTTGACTGCTCACTACCATGAGTGGCTGGAGTATTTAGTGTCCTCAATCTCTGATGAGTGCTATCAGGATTAGCATGTGGAAATCCCTCATCAGCAGTGCTGTTCAAGAATTTCAGTCATCATCAAGTGGAAATGATAGCAGCCCACCATCTTCCTGAAGGATTTACCTTCAACCATGACCCAAGTCACATGTGGATGACAACAGCTACCCAGCTGCTGTCCTTTTGGCACAAGCAACAGGAATCCCATCCAAATGATGTGTTTCAATTTCAGAAATGGATCAATCATTCTGGCAAGCTGCAGCCACCAGTGGATAGAACTTTGGTACCCCTCCAGGTTGTGAGGCAGCAGAAATACCAAAGACACCTGCCCCCAAATGCAAAAAGAATCCTGGAAGGAAAAATGTCAAGGGCAAGGGTAAAGTGTAGGAAGAGGGAGTGGCAGATGATAGTGTGGATGATAGCATGGACAACAGCATGGATGACAGTTTGGATGATCACAGCAAGGCTGAGGTGAGCAATGTTGGAACAGATGGTCCCTCCACTGAAAAGGTGCACCATGTGTGATTTTCATGCATGACAGATCAGCACTAATGCAATTCTGGTCTTCAGGTATCTGGCAGGAGGCAAAACCATGCCAAGACACCATTCCCTTCTCATTCCTGCTCACATCCCCCACCAGCTGATGGTTCCCATAGTAAGTGGCTCTCTGCACCTCCAGCCCATGCAAAGACCCCAGTGCATTGTCCATGAAATAAAGTGCTAACTGATGATAATGGGCAGGAAAGCAACAGCCATGAATCCAATGATGAAGCTGATGAAGACACTTATTTGCCCACCCTATCCAATTCAAAGAAATCAGCAACATCCCTGAATAGTGAGCTTCCTGCTGTAACTTGTATTTGCAGCAAACCCTGATCTGCACTCAGGGAATGAGTACACAACTGAACTACAGGACCACTCAGAATATGCAGATGAAGATGGATTGGAGAGCATTCCTTTCACTGACCACCCAACTGAGGTCAGTCATGTTGAATCAGCTGTTATGGCTAACAAGTTTGCACTGAATATTAAGCAGGCTCTGTCAGAATCAAGTGAGCCAGACATGAATCAACATCAACCTGGGGCCAAATACTCATCCAAGTCCAACTGTAATGGATCTGTGACTGCAAATGCAACATCCACAAATGTGAAACAGGGTGTCCCTGGGAGCACCTGGAAATCACCTCATGTCAGAAAGGCCCCTGCAAGGCCAGATGCAGATGTTCCATCTCCTGATGCAAAGAGATTGTGCAAGCAAACAGGCAGCAATCAGAAGCAGAAGTAGTTGTTGAATCCCTCAAACAGTCAGAGCAGAAACCTTTTTTGGAACTTGTGTACAGTCTATAGAGGGCTTAGGCTAGTGTGACACATTAGAATACAAGTGTATGCCATGTATGGTAGCTCATGACACCATGGTGGTTGTGAGAGGTGTCTTTGATATCAGAGAGAGGGATAGTTAAGCAGGATGGTTGAGCAAGACAATTGAGTGGAGAGCTGAGTGGGACAGGTCTATGTATTGGCATGTGGAAGTGACTGGTAGTTATCTATGTAGGGAGATATTGCTGCTCATCTCCCATGTATTGCTGTTACCCAAAATTTGGCTCTGTCCACCATTGTCCAACCTTGCTTCCCATGGTGTGAATGATATTCTCACCATTGTTCCTACAAGTTTAAATCTTGATTGATCATCAACCTATCAGTGAACCCATCATTGTTGAATATGTCCACCAAACAGTCCCACCAAGTTCATTTCTGTCATCAAGGTGAGGTTATCTTCATTGTTGGATCCAGTGACCTAAGCCATCCACAGCTAATGTAAGACCAATCAAGCCAAGGCAATCTAGCTCCTGCATGAAGCAGTCTAAACATCTGGAGGAGACACTAGTACAACTGTGTGAGTTGTGAGAGCCAACCTCTCCACCAATTGTCTCAAGTGGAAGGGCAGATATGGCAGGGTCAAACATGGATATTGTGGCTGGTGAGTGAACATGATTTCTCTCCAAGCTAAACAACAAATGTTCTTTTGCTATAGATTCATGTAAAAGCTTGCTGGATCAGTTCCTGCAGGAAAGGGAGCCAACCACTCTGGCAGAGGGCAGAATTGCAGCTGGTGTGAGTCAAAGTGTGGTTCAGTGGTGAAAACCAACCAAAACCAACACAAAAGACAAAAAGAGTGAGTGGTGGTGTGCCTATGCAGTACCTAGATGGTAGAACCTTTGATTTGGGTGGTTTTTTGCGAGCTACAACACTCAAGGACAAGTGCTGAGGGTTGGGGGTGCTCCTGACAAAGAGGGAGCAAGAATGCGATAGAAAGCAATAGGGTAGACTGCTGTCAGCCTACAGGAGGATGGATGGTGGCTTAATTCAATGTCCTAAGCTGCACTGAGCTCAGGGAGGGCTTGGAGCAAAGTATATTGATGATAGACAAGGATAAGTGAGGTAGACGATAGTTAGACCCTTAATAAAGTCTCAACTATTGAAGCTGCTGAATGAATTACTGAGTGATGATAAAATGCAAGCAAGAGGGGCTCTCTGATGTCTTCTTTTCTTTTGCTATCTAAGTACAGTGATTTATATACAGTACAGGGGTGTTGCCCTTGGAAAACAAGGTGCAAACACTTGGTAAGTGATTGGTAACTGATGAGTAAGGAATGTAAGCAATGGGTAATCATCTTGGAAAGCATTGGTAAGCATTGGTAAGGATTAGCAAGCCAAAAAGCAAAGAATCAGTAAGCAAAGTCAAAAGATTGGTAAGTATTGGCAATAGGTGAGTCAAAGACAGTCAGAACATCAAAGTATGAGTCAAGCAATGTCAGGAACCAAGAAAGCACACTGGAATTGCATTAGGGGGAGGCTGTGCATGTCACATCTTAAAGAGATCATATCTAGGCCAAGGTGGGATGACAGAGAGGCAGCGCTGATCTGATGCCAATATAGTACATCCAAAAGTGGACAGGGTGAGTCAGATGTCAACAGGGGTCAAGCTTTGGGGGTCTGTGGGGTGACAGGAGCATAGGGGATCACAACTTTCCCCCCCAAACCATCCTCTCAGGGAAGCAAATAAAAACTTCATGAATGAGGCTCTGTTGGAAGAGAGGATGAAGGGGGAGTGTCTTCTGCTGTATCTTGCAACAAGGAGGCAAGATGTGCATCATACTCGTCATGGATGCAACCAGGGAGAGTGGAGAACAGTAGATTATACTGTAGCTGTTGCAATCTTGGAAGAATGATGGATGAGACCAGTATGAAGACATTGCAGGGAGCAGGGAAGAAGGATCCATATGCTTCTTGGACTGGAGAGACTGAAACAACCACATAAGACCTTTCCAAGCAAATGACAGACCTGAGGCGACCAAAGAACATCCTCCTAGAGGTCATACTGACAAAAAGAACACACTGTCCAAGTTGGATGGGCTGAGAGGGCACAGACAAGGGTGGGATGTACCAGGATGCTTCAGGATGGAAGCTGGTAGGAACTCCTGGTAGATATATGTAGCCATGGTCCCTAGCAAAGGGGACAAGCAAAATGATTGATGTAGAGGTGGCCATATCAGAAGAAGTTAGTGAAATGAGCATCTTTTGGAGGGAGTGCTGTAGAAATGTGTGGAGTGTGCAAATCCTTTCCAATTTTGGAAGGTAAGATCATGTGGCTGAGCACTACAAGCGAGTGTGGGAATGGTCTCTGTATCTGCAGAAATGGTGGAGATATGTTGAAAACCAGAATGCCATACACGGGCACTTCAGAACTTTAGCCAGCACTTAACTCACTCCCTTTCTTTTTCTCTGGCACTGATGACTTGTTCTTGTGCAAGGGATGACTGCCAACATTCCTGGCTGTCCTTCTTTGCATGAGGGCTATGGTCTTCATCTCCATTCATCAGCTGTATCCATGTCCACCTCACCAAACACCTTTGGTGTGTGACACCAGTGAGTTGGCACAATTGCCCTTCAAGCTAACAAACAAACTAATTTTCTAGTAATAGATCCACACAACACCTTGATGAATTGGTTCCTGAATGAATGGGAACCAACTGCTCCCCCAGCAGATGGTATGAATGTGGATCTACTCAAGCAATTGCTGAATGCATGGGAACCATCAGCACCACCAGTCACACACAAGAAATTAAACAGGATGGATGGGTCTTCAACACTTGCACAAGACATTACTATGCAGGTCAATTTTCTGGCAGACTTGCAGAATGTGTGGGAACTGTCTCCTCTGCCCATCACCTGCAAATCATCAAATCTGAGGGACTGATCTCTTCAACCTGATTCTCTGACTAACCTGCTTGCTCAATTGCAAGATATGAGGGAACCAATGCCTCCCCCACTCATTTCAAATGTACCCATCAAATCTTTTGACTTGGCAGCAGATGAGGACAATGGCACAAACTGTTTGACTTTTGGCATGCCCAAACGATCAGAGATGAGGGATCTTTTCAAAGAAATATACAACAGTGAGCATTTATTTGGTTCTATTCATGTGATCAGTGATATCCATCGATTATGTAGGTGAACTTCCATCCACACAGCAATCTCTTCAAATGGAACAATGGGGATTGGCACCTGTTCTGCATTGTGATCAAGGTATGGGCATGAACTTAATCTGATACACCTTTGACATTGATAATTTTAGTCCTGCATGCCTTACATGCTGCAGTATCTCACTACCATGGAAACACCACTCCCAGTGACATGCTGTTCAATCCCACCCTCAATAGGCACCTTGTGCAGGCTGCAAATGTCATTGTGAGAGAATTGTGCACAGCTGCAAGGGACCAGTATGGTGCAGCCTCTCAGGGCCTTTCACTTGTCAATATGCTCAATTTGATGGAAGTCATTCATTATCCATGTTCTGCCTTTGAAAATTGTCCCAAGCCATTCATCACCAGCCAATCACACCCATCTCACCAGTCTGCAGTAGAGATGGGTATCCTCTACTTGGCAGGCCAGATCGAGGTGGCCTCTGTACATCTGAAGCAGACTGCCAATATCACAGGATGGCCCACACATTGGTTTGCAAACCCAGCAATGGACTTGGTAGGTTTTACATCAATTTTTCACAATGTGGGACTGATACATAATTCCTTAAGAATCAGCTTAATAGCTTGATTCTGGTGATGGTGTTGCATGCCAGTTATACTCCTCCCCTCCTGGCATGCTACCATGCATACCTCAGACACCAAGATGATGAGGTTAGCTTCCACAATCAAATGCAGCTAATTCCCCTTAGTGCATTTTGCATAACCAACAATATCAGTGCCATTGTCCTGCATTGGACCCCACACACACAGCTGATCCCAATTCTGGCTTTGCAGTCCCTTGGTGGCTATATCATTCTGAGGAATACACAGTGGATTCCCAAAGATTGCAAGGCAAGGGATTGTTTTCTGTGGCCTGGGATTTTTTTAAGGTATGCTGCTTATTCTTGTCACTGCAAATAGTTGATGATGGCCCAGGGCTTATGGCCATTGCCTGAGGTGCCAATTGCAGTCCATCTCAATGGCCATATTGAGGAGCAGGTAAACTACTGCATCAAAAATATTCAGAAATATGCTGATGTTGTCAATGGTTGGGGTTGACAAATTGACCATTTCTACACTAGGTGGTGGGCATTGCACAGGTTGTTGGGCATGCCACTGTGAGTCAAAGTGAGGTTCAGTGGTGAAAACCAACCAAAACCAACACAAAAGACAATGAAAGCGAGTGGTGGTGTGCCTATGCGGTACCTAGATGGTAGAACCTGTTCTTTGGGAGGGTTTTTGCAAGCTACAACACTCAAAGATGAGTGCTGAGGGTTGGGGGTGCTCCTGATGAAGACGGAGCAAGAATGTGATAGAAAGCGATAGGGTAGACCACTGTCAGCCTACAGAAGGATGGATGGTGACTTAATTCAATGTCCTAAGCTGTACTGAGCTCAGGGAGGGCTTGGAGTGAAGTATATGGATGATAGATGATGATAAGCGAAGTAGATGATAGCTAGACCCTTAATAAAGTCTCAACTATCAAAGCTGATGAATGATTTACTGAGAGATGATAAATTGCAAGCAAGAGGGGCTCTCTGATGTCTTCTTTTTTTTTTGCTACCTAAGTACAGTGACTTATATACAGTACAGGGGCATTGCCTATGGAAAACAAGGTGCAAACACTTGGTAAGTGATTGGTAACTGATGAGTAAGGAATGTAAGCAATGGGTAATCATCTTGGAAAGCATTGGTAAGCATTGGTAAGGATAAGTAAGCCAAAAAGCAAAGAATCAGTAAGCAAAGTCAAAAGATTGGTAAGTATTGGCAACAGGTGAGTCAAAGACAGTCAGAATGTCACAGTATGAGTCAAGCAATGTCAGGAACTGGGAAAGTGCACTGGAATCACATTAGGGGGAGGCTGTGCATGTCACATCTCAAAGAGATCACTTCTAGGCCAAAGTGGGATGACAGAGAGGCAGTGCTGATCTGATGCTGATATAGTACATCCAAAAGCAGACAGGGTGAGTCAGATGTCAACAGGGGTCAAGCTTTGGGGGTCTGTGGGGTGACAGGAGCATAGGGGATTGCAACTTTCCCCCCCAAACCATCCTCTCAGTGAAGCAAATAAAAACTTCATGAATGAGGCTCTGTTGGAAGAGAGGATGAAGGGGGAGTGTCTTCTGCTGTATCTTGCAACAAGGAGGCAAGATGTGCATCATACTCATCATGGATGTGATCAGGGAGAGTGGAGAACAGTAGATTATACTGTAGCTGTCACAATTTTGGAAGAATGACAGATGAGACTGGTATGAAGATGTTGCAGGGGGCAGGGAGGAAGGATCCATATGCTTCTTGGACTGGAGAGACTGAAACAACCACATAAGACCTTTCCAAGCAAATGACAGACCTGAGGCGACCAAAGAACATCCTCCTGGAGGTCATACTGACAAAAAGAACACACTGTCCAAGCTGGATGGGCTGAGAGGGGGCAGATGAGGGTGGGATGTACCAGGATGCTTCAGGACAGAAGCTGGTAGGAACTCCTGGTAGATATATGTAGCCATGGTCCCTAGCAAAGGGGACAAGAAAAATGACTGATGTGGAGGCAGCCATATCAGAAGAATTAGTGAAATGAGCATCTTTTGGAGGGAGTGCTGTAGAAACGTGTGGAGTGTGCAAATCCTTTCCAATCTCGGAAGGTAGGATCACATGGCTGAGCACTACAAGCGAGTGTGGGAATGGTTTCAGTGTCTGCAGAATTGGTGGAGATATGTCAAAAACTGGAATGCCATACACAGGCGCTTAAGAATTTTATTGGCACTTAACTTGCCTCCTCCTTTTTCTTTGGCATCGACAACTTGTTCTTGTGTGAGGGATGACTGCTGACATTGCTGGCTGTCCTTCTTCGCATGAGGGCTATGGTCTTCACCTCCATTCATCAGCTACATCCATGTCCACCTCACCAAACACCTTTGGTGTGTGACACCACTTCAATAGTTTACATGTTTTTGACTGTGGAGTTGGTTGTATATACATTGCTATGAATGTCAATCATTTATGAGATACGACCCATTCACATGATGTCTGAACCCCCACCCATCCATGCAATGTCTGACAATCTGCCCATCTGCATGATGGCCTGAGTAGGTTTACTTTTTTTGCAGTTTATGATGCACACCCTTTAGCTCTGAGTACCTGCCTAATCTATGATGTCAAAGCACCCACCCATTTGCAAAATCTTGGCAACACCACCTGTCTGAAGTTCAAGAGCCAGCATATCCTAATAAAATACAAGATCTGCATTGCCTACTAAATCTTACATTAAATTTTGCAGCTTCAAATCAACAGTTCTCCAGTTGCAACTGGTATAGGTAGTAGGTCATCCACCCACAGTGATTGACACATGGGAACATGCACCAATTGATGTACATTGGCATGCATATAGTATGCCAGGCATGCTCTGTCACCATCTACAGCTCCCACCCCATGCTCCAATGCTGAACCTGAAAATGCAATGATTGTCCCTGGGTTGTAGTGCAGCTGCAGATTCAACATTGGAATGACAAAGTCCAAGGGTGGGTAGTCACCCATGGTTACCAGCATGTCATACCATGGATCCCATCCATTGATATCCCTGTGATAACAAGTTGCTCAATTCACCATCACGGACATGCTGCTATATGTGGAGCTCCATATTGGCAGTATGAAGCTCATATCTGAATCTGCCTGCTGTTCTGCCTGTTCACCAAGGCAGATCAATGCTTCCCTGCCATCTGCATACATTCACAGATGGATGACATGCAGGATTGCAGATAACAGGGCATTGGTGTTGGACATTTGGTCAACCCATTCCCTTGTAGAAGTGTTTTCCATCCTGGATTTGAGCAGCCATGAGGCTTCTGGGAAACCATTTTGGGGCTTCAAGACAGATGAGCACTTTATTCACAAGGCAAGAAATAATCACCCACCCCATGACCCTGTTGAAACCATGTGGGTGACAGGTTGATGGCACCTTTCAACTCAGCATTATTGCAGAAATATGACTTGTCCATCTGCCATGCCTGTGGGGAAGCCTTTATACTCTCCTGCAGTGGTTCCCTCAGAAGATGAAGGCAGTTCCATACATCAGCCTGCCATTCCATTAAGTCAGTAGAATATGAGATTCTGCATTCCCTTACCCTTCATTTTGGGCTGAGAGCATCCAGCAAATACCAAACATGGATGGTGTTTGAGTTGGTCACCAGAATGGATGGCTCAGTCACTTCTGTGTATCTCTCAGCAGCTTCTGCATTGCAGGTTTTTCCACCCCAATTTTTTCCTGACATTGACTGCAGAAAGATGAAAACTTCCATCACACCATTATGATGGACTTACTTGGGCAGCAATAGGCATGTGAGATTACTGACAATATGTGATCCACTTCACATAACACTGGAAATGGAGTTGATATATCTGGAAGGGCACAAGGTCTGCTGAATACCTCCTCTTGAAATCTGGCTTTCATGTATGACACAATGCAGTCTGTTAGTTCCATTCACCATCCATGGGGGGTTTTAGATGTGTCTTGCATAGTATTCATGCTTGGGGTGGATGAGGTCAGAGTTGTATAGTGGGTGAGCTGCTTGCAGCTTGTTGGAAAATTATGGCATGTCAGGATGCTTGCCTCAATATTTTACTGTGATCCAATCAATATGTTGTGATGCTATACATGCTATTGGTGTTGGGCCTGTCTTATGTTGCAACAGGGGTGGATCTTACTAGATGGACCTGTCCTTGTTTTATGGTGATATAAAAGATATTACTGAAGGGCCCATCCATACATTATGACCATATAAATAATACTGCTGAAGGGCCCATCCTTATGTTGTGACCACATAAATGATACTGCTGAAGGGCCCTTCCATATGTTGTGATGCTATAAATGATATTACTGATGGGCCCATCTTTATGTTGTGACAGGGGTGCATCTTACTAGACAGGCCCATCTATATGTTGTGACACTGTAAATGATATTACTGATGGGCCCATCCATGTGTTGTGACCATGTAATTGATATTACTGACAGGCCCATCTTATGCTGTGACAGGGGCATATCTTACTAGACAGGCCCATCCATCCGTTGTGACAATGTAATTGATATTACTGACTGGCCCATCTTTATGTTGTGACATGGGTGCATCTTACTAGACAGGCCCATCCATGTGTTGTGACCCTGTAAATGATATATATTGAAGGGTCCATCTTTATGTTGCAACAGGTACATCTTACTATGGATGGGCCTGCCCATGTGTTGTGATGGTATAAATGGTATTACAGAAGGGCCCATCTATATGTTGTGATGCTATAAATGACATTACTGATGGGCCCATCTTTATGTTGTGACAGGGATGCATCTTACTAGATGGGCCTGTCTATGTGTTGTGATGCTGTCAATGATATTACTGACAGGCCCATCCTTATGTTGCAACAGGTGCATACATCTTGCTATGGATAGGGCCTGTCCTATATGTTGTGACAGGGATATATTATCCCAAAGATGGGCCCTTCCATATGTTTCCAACTCTGTAATCTATCATAGAGGGGCCCCTCTTTATGTTGCAACCTTCTTCATGATACAATAGGTAGGGCCCATCCTGATATTGTGACTGGGGTGCACCCTACCATGGACAGGCCCATCCACATCTTACAGTAGCTCAGCATACTTGCTTGGTCACAGGCCTGTCTATATGTTGCAGCATCCTTACCCTCCACAGGCCCTCCCATATGTTGTGGAATTGTGCTTACAGGCCCATACATATGTTGCTCTCACTATAGGCCCTCAGGCCTGTCCATGTGTCATGGCTAATCTATTTAGATGGGCCCATCATGGGGTCTATATAAGTGTTGGCATTTTGGCATGCAGGCTACCTATATGTTGTGACTAAATGGACTACATGGGGTCCCACTCTGCATACCATTCACCACCAATCAAGCACAGTCAAGATAACCCCAACCATTGGCCCCATCACCTGCATGACTATTGCCAACAATATTCAAATGGTTGCAATTGAGCCCCACACTGCTGCTGGTCTTACTTGTCTCCATGGGGTAAGCCTTCTCACAGATGAAATTGTACTCAAAGAGGCTGCCACATACCATCTGGCTGAAAATGGGGTTAGAGGCTACTGCTGGAAGCATGCCAGAAACATATACCCCTTCCTTGAAACCCTATGAGTCTGCCAAACAGCTCACCACAAAGCTCTCCACAGGTGATGTCCATCTTGGTAAGGAAATGTTGGTTGTCATTGCCCACTGCTTCAGTGAAGACTGAACATACCCACTCCTTGCAGTGCCATTGTGTGAAGAGGAGGACCACATCAATTGGCAGGACCTTATGCTCAAGCTCATCAATACTTGGTATGAGGACTGATGCTCACAAGACTGATTGGGCCACTGTGGTCATTTGCAACTGATGGTGACACAACACATTGCAAAGCTGGTCATGAGGTTTCCATGGCTATGAAGTTAACTCTTGCATCTCCACTCTACAGCATTCTCTCTGGACTTCCTGGACTCAATCTGCATACTGGCCCACACAAGATGACAATGGATTTCGATTACAAGCATCTTCTTAAACATATGGTTTCCCCTGCTACTCAGCATGACAATTGAGACTAAACTAACATGTTTTCAAAGGTGCCTGCACAGCACTTCACTCAACCTGCAGGAATCCTGCTTGACAATGGGTGACTTCTCAATTCCAAGACATTCCTTCACTACTTTACTTGGCTCGAATGACATGGACAAGGATCAAGCAAACAAGTTGTTATTCCCTGATGACCCCCAGGATGTTCCCTGCACTGTTGAACTCATCCAGGAAATCATTTGCCTCACAGAGATTGATCCAGCCAAACCTCCATATACCTGATATGGGGGAATCCCAGACATCGATGCTGTCATTGACTTAAAGGCCATCAAGATGCTTGCCCAAATTTTACATCATTTGGTTGAGCCCTTCATCAATCCTGTGCTCTCACTGTCTCAACAGGTCAGCTATATCAGCACATGTTCTCACTTGCTCTTTTGTCAGTGCTGCCTCAACCATACCTCTTTCTTACCAAACCAGCTTTACTACAACATCATGACAGCCTTGAAGAACATCATTTTCTGCATTGCAAAGCAAATGTGGCTTGACTCATCCTCAAAGTTCTCCCTCCTTGATGCCAGAATGGATCAAATTGAAGTTTTGTTTGCACCTGATCCAGATGTGCAGCAGACACAACAATGCCCTTAACTGCAAGCAAGGTATCAACTGCCTTCAGTCAGCTTGCAATATCAGTGGCATCTACTTGTGAAATCCTGATCTACACCAGAGTCATCATAGGCTGAACTCGGTCAGAACATGTTGACCACTTAAACCATGGTATGTGGCAGGGTGATACCATTGTCCACAATTGCAACTTGCAGGTCATGTGGTCCAAGGGATGTGTGGCAGCAATCTCTTTTCTCTCTGCCTCTCCCTTGTTCCCAGAAGAATATGACTTCAACACTATCTTTTCCATTGAAGGCATTGACTTATTGTGTGTGTTCAGCACAGGGAAGTGTCCTAGCATCAACCAAGGGGATGAGAGCAAAGACAGGAGTATGCTGCTACTCAGCAGATTCAGGAGCAATGGATGTACCCCCTCAGTTGCAGTCCATTGATACACAGGTCAATACTCTTGGTGATGAAGAACTTCAAACTGTCAGTGCTGATGAAGACAATGAAGAACCTGTGCTTTCTTTTGAGGATCAGCTCGAGGACAAGATGGAGAATGGATTTGTTGGCAAAGACTTCATAGGTCCATCATCATCCACTGAAGCTATGATTAGGTGTCACCAAAAAGACTTCACAGGTCTGTCATCACCCACTGAAGCTGTGATAGGTGTCACCTGATGATCCATTACATCCACCTCCCCCCTCTGGCAAGGACATCCACCCTCTCAACTACCTCTTGTATAAGGGGAAGTGGGTTCATAAAGCATCTGTGTGCTGACTTGTGCTCAACAAAGATTTCTCTGCCAAATTGCATGACCAACTCCTATGTGTCTGTGGTTTCACCCCAGTCAACAAACTCACAAAGAATTTTCATTCCTCATCTGGTTCTGACTCAGGTCTGTTCTTCATTGTTGGCAATCCCTTCGTCACACTTGTCCATCTGAGTGACCACATGACTTCATTAGTGCTGGTTTGCTCCACAAGCATCTATGAAAATAGTGCTGTGTGCAATGACATCCATACCAAGACCCTGCAGGCAAATGGGTCAAAGATCAAGATCTCTGGTAACATCCTTGTGCTTGTCCCCTCTGAATCAACTCTGAACTCAAGGTCCCCTGATTTCGAGTTCAACCTGACATGGATTTGGACTGGTGCTTATCTCAAAACTTCTTCTACTGTCCCTGGGCCCACCATCACCACTCAGAAGCTGGTAGAAGTCACAGCAATTGGATCACTTGTTGAGCTTGTCAACCCCAGTGTTGTCTTGGCATCTGCCCACCTTGCTGCTGAGAAGACCAAGGAGATCAACTCTCAAGACCTTACATGGTCACTCAAGAATGAGGCCCTCAAGGTGGCAGTGGATCTCATTTGGAAATGCATGCTGGAGATGAAGATCCTGGTCTCAAACATTGCCTTACTTTGAGTGGATACTGCAAGCAAGCTGTTCCCTTACTGCATGACAGACAGTAAACTTTGAAGTCTCCTTTTCTGTGGTGATAATCTCAAACATTTCTAGGCTCTGCTGCTCTCATTTGTGAGCCAGCAACTTCACAGTTGTCATCTTCAATGGGCACAGCCCTTACAGTAATCTGTCCATGATGCAATGATTCAACCAACAATCCATGGTCCCACATGGGTGGGCATATCCTCCAGTCCATTCACAGGGTTGAAGAAATAATTGTCTCTCCCATCAATCACCTCTTCCCTTGTGGCTTCTGCAGTTGTTCTCAGCTTCAACACCCAGAGTGTATGATCAAGGTGAAGATCACAATTGTGGAGTAGAGATGGATACACACTGTCCCTACCAGGTCCAGATCAAGTTTGCATATGCAGAGAAAGGCTTGAAGAAGTGTCTGTGTCAAAACATCCCTGTGGTCTGTCCATTGTGCCCACTCCCTCCATGTGCTCAACAAACTGATTGGCAAGATGGGGTCTGGAGATACAACATGGAACAGCACCTGAACTTCTACCACTTGGAATATGTGCACCCTGGCAAGTTTTCTGGCCTTCCTCTTCTGCATGAGGTTGCTGCTGCTACCCTTCTGGATTCCTGTGAGGAGGAGAAGCTTGGTGTCCCTTAGCACCCTGCACTTACTAACATCATCGAGAAGAATACTGAAGGCACGTCCGCTGGTGAGAAGTGCAGGTCCACCAATGCAAATTCTTTTGCTGCCGGTGCTGGAGGAGGTAAACACGCTCGTCACTCGAAGTAGAATCACCATTCTCGCTTTTGCTTGCTCTGTTCAGCTTTCCCTTGCTGTGCACGTCGAAAATCCCTTTTATTCTTGCGCCAGAGTTCTCGTTTACGTCTACATTCACTCGCTGATGTCAAAGACTGCTACGTTCTTTGTCCGTTTCATGCCCTGTTGATGTTTTTCGTGCTATTGCATAGTCCCTTGTACTACCACTGCGGTGTTCGGTGTCCCGCTGATTATCAAATTCATGCGTGCTTTTAAGAAAAACAGCTGTGACAAAAGAGTGACGAATGATACTATCTATGGTAAAAAGTAACGCGTTAGGGTGGTGGTGGTGGTGCTCCCATCAATGGGCGTCAGTGTCTTCAAAGTTTGCATTGCCGTCCTCTTGAGTATGGCCAAGTATGGCTACGTGTGGCGTGCACGGAGTGACGACTCCTTGACATGATTCAACTGCTGGAACGTTTGGACCACTCTCAGTTGGACAAGGCTTGTACAATATGCTGGCACTCTTCTAAGCATCTTCCAACCATTCTTTCTTTGTCTCTGAGCCTGAAAGTATCATCAGGTAGGGGATCCCAACAAAAGGCTGCGCAAGCATGCATATGTCACGCGTCTCACAAAGAATTTGCTTGATCACGCGGTGAGCGGTCTTCGTTTGATGGGCCCATCACAGACAGCCACCCGGAGGATCAGTCAAATTGATAGCCTGTCTCGTCCATGGAATGACACGTGCGGTACACTCCGTAGCGCAAAGCCCAAAAGCTCTGAACGTGAAACTCTCCTCAGCGCTAAACTTGGCAGGGCACATATTTTCTGCTGATGCCACTTATGTATTGTCTCGCCGTACGTTGATGGCCACTTCGAATTGTGCAGGACGACTGACCTAGGGGCTTAATGGTGATGGTTCGTCTGGCATTTCCAAATGATAAATGGCTTCTGCCGTATCAATACGTCTCGTGCTAATGGCCTTATGCCGAGCAATTGTTCGGTTTCTCAAATGGCCCGAGAAAATGGAAGGCACGCTATCACCGCGCCTGGGTAGCAAAACAGCAAGGCGATGTTAACAACGATATGTTGATGAAGGAATGAGATGGAAAAACAGCAGGAAGTTGGATGGAGTTCTCATGATCAAGTGCATTTGTTGAAACAGATTCCGCCCACTACCCTGGAATGCCGCGAGTTTCGTATATGGGCACGGCACGTATGTACGGACATCCGGTGCCGCTGCTCTGCTTTACGTTGAAGCGTTGTATTTTAGCCTTATCAGACATTATAGGTGGGAATATCACTGTCTCCAATTGTGCGGAGGGCTGACTACATGGATACAATTCAGTACGCTTGCCGATCAAGTGGCGTACTGGTTCATCTCGCGTTTATAATGGGCCCTTGAATACTCGAGGCTGATCAAAACTTCCTTCGTACGTCTTCTCTTCATCGTTCGTTGGGTGCAAAGGTCCTGCAACAACTTAGAAAGCGGTTCGTTACCGTTGGTGCTCTTGACTTACGGTTCAATATCGCCGCCATGTACATTCCTCCGCTTTCCAACGTCATCCAAGCTATGCCGCGTGCTATGGTCACTGGCTACACCCCGCTTGAAAACACCAGGTTTATCTTGAATAGCACTGGGGTAGCTGGTCTCTTCGTCGGCGACGAGGCCGTTGCATCCATAGCTCTGGTTCACGTCTTCGAAGGGAGGAAGTGGTTTGGCTGGTACAACTCCCCTGGATCTTACATTATGGGGATGCGTTCTAGCCGGCTGGCCCGTTCGGCTGTTCCTTCATTATCCCGAGATAAGCGGGAACATGTACAGACCGACTTGGCCTCACTATTCGAGTACAATGGCCAGAAAGGGCCCAAGTTTAGAGCTGTTCACTCTGGAACCACTTTCCAGGAGACGAGTCATCTGGCCGCTCTATTCATGAAGGAGTGCACAGAGTTGCACTCCATCCCGATCGAAGGCAGGGAAACTCAGCCTGTCAGCGTCACCATCGCCAACCTCCATCACGTTCCCCGCCATGAGGAATGTCCCACGTTGCATAGGCGTCGTGCTCCTTTCTACGCTAGCATACCCATCCTTGTCAGCATGGGCACGTGTGTAGCGTGCGGCTGGTACGACGACTGGTTCTCTTTCGTTGTGATCCTGTTCGGCATCATCGTCAGCGGCATATCGTGCCTTGTAATCGGCTCGGGGACGTTCCGTTTTACGCATCCAGAGCCAGCGCCAGGCTCGCCTCCGGGGGATGGTATCTTAGGATGTGAAGATGGGGTTGTCCTGTTGAAAGGCCAAGAGGGAGCTGTCAACGCAGTTACGAGGGGAAGGTTCTCGCTGCTTTTCAAATGCACAGATGCTCGCCGGAGCGTCAGACTCATTCGGATGTGTTCTATCATTCTTGTGATTCAGGCCATCGCACAGCTGATCCTGGTCCCTCAGAGTTCACTCTTTGGGCAGTTCATGTTCGTGGTGTCTGTGGCGGTCTCTTGGTTGTACAACCTATGGCTGTGGTCCATCGATAAGGAGAAAGTTCAGAGAGATCTTCTGACGAAAGTCCTCGACAAACCGCACCTTACCAAGTACATTCTGGGCACCCGCACCAGCATGATGACATTCGTTCTCTTAGCTTTGGATCTGGACAATCCCGAAGAGGTCATAAATTTCCTTCTTCCTACAAACACCAGGGCCTGGCAAATATGGAAGGCAGCCGTCATTAAGCGACTTAGGAATCACGAAAAACTCGAGTTCGATGCCTCGGACTGGGACGATTCGTCCCTGTCGGACCAGGAGCGGCAGATGTTGGAGACGCTCTTCAAGGATGCCCAGGATGCGTATGAGGGCTTTCAACTGCACAGGGAACGAATCCTTCCTTGCCCGAAGATGCCCTAGGCCCGTAGCGAGTTATCCTACAAGCTTTCATGGTTTCTATTTACGGTAGTACTTTGTTCCCTGCAGCAACTCACATGGATCATTCATTCGAGCGCAGACCAGATTTCCACACGAGGATGAACGTGAATAAATGATCAGTTCAATCTGAACATGGCGTCCGGAAACATTTACTGTAATTACCTCCGCACTGAACACCTGACCCCAGCTGACTCATCAGGTCGCCAAGTGACAACTAGTAGTATCGTATTCCTCGACCGATCCCATTGACATCACAGCTACATACATACATGCTTTCCTTCATACCGAGGCGGCGTCGAGTTATTGGCGTACCCATACTGGGCGGAAAGCACTGACCCTATGTACGGCAAGTACAGTTTATAATTGTGGGTGGTGATAAATTGCGAGTAGCTGTGATGTTAACCGAACCTGCCCGACTGCCCATCTTTTCCTTGTATGAAGGTATGTGAACGTTGCAAGAGGAGTCAAATAAAAGTACTGCCAAGGAGAACTTGTCTATCAGTTCTGATGATAATCCTGTTCTCCCCTGCACCGGGCGGCCCGCAATCCAGCCACACTGTGGCTGTAGCTGCTACGCCCACGCAACTCGCTGGCGCTGTAATCATTACACCAGTCTATTAATGCGCATACACTGCGGAACCTGAACCCACGGCACATTTTTATATTCAGCGATGACTATAGCGATGACTGCAAGGCTCCACAGATATCAGACTGAGGATCGTCCATGGCAGATTATATGACTTCGCAGCTGGGGCCCTCACTCGTTTCGCTCGTGCTTTCCGGCATCCCATGTGGATGTTCACTGGTGCAGACCTACGTGTACTATAAGCTATTTCCAAAAGACAGCTGGAAAATCAGGACTCTGGTATGTTACCCATGCACTTTGTTTAACGACTCAAGTTCATAAGCTCCACCGACTTGCTCGTTGTCCATGGGCTCAAGGTCGCATTTGAGATGTATGGAACATTAATTCATGCTGTTATCCAACATCCGTCTTACCAAGCTCGAAGGACCCTCCAAATCGTACACTTGGCATCCCTCCTCCTGGGCGTGTGGCAGACGGTGATGACCCATTATGCTCAGCGCCCACGAATACTCGTCGTTGCAATGGCCGCCGTTATTAGTACAGTGTTCAGCGGACCTATCGCATTCTGTACACAGGTCGACCATCCAGTCGTGAATCAAAATCCACAGATTAAACTTCCGTTGTGTCCGGCAGGCCTTTTTTGTGTTCAGACTATACAGTTTCACGCACAAGAAAGCTCTCCCCCTCTTCTGTTCCTTCCTTGTCGTGATTCGGTTTGTGCTCACCCTGGCGGCTAGCATTTCCACAATCATGGCCAACGGATTGTCACCTCAGCCGTGGAAATGGTTTATCGTGTGCCTGCTGTTCACCACAGTATGTGCTGACACAACCATCGCGGTGTCGATGAGTTACTACTTGAAGGCGAGTGAGCCTGGCTCTCGTCAGTAGGTGATCAAAGGAAAGGATATGAATTACTTTGTCTGATGCTGGCCCTGTCTCACAAGAACTTCACGTGTGGTAGATCGGATGGTTCTCTACATCGCGGGTGAGAACAGGACGGTCCTGATACCTTGCCGATTGCTGACCCGGTCCCACCCTGTCTAGCAACGGGCATAATAACCAGGTGAGGGACATCTCAATAGTATAACAATCGTTTTAACCAAGTCTTTTGCAAGTATATCTGCACTTGCTTCTGGCATATCTGTACGTTAAATCTAACATCACCCGCTAAATTCTGAAGCCGCTCTGCAGTTCTTGGTCGCGCCTGGCGTCTGTATGTCGCATTTACATAATGTTCTATTTGACATCCTCATCACAAATATTTGCAGATATTTGGCTGGGATTCTTCATCGTCGGGTCTGGCTGTAAGTTTATCATTGCAGTCTTGACAGCTTGTCTCATATGTGATTGGTGCTGATGTCATGCAACTCCAGTGTACACCAACTCATTGTTAGCAGCGTGTGTACTCCGTGTTCCTCTGCGTTCTAATCCACATTTCAATTAATCTTTCTGGATGAACAGACTGAATGCCCGTGCCAAATTCTCTCACGAACCGCAGCACCCAGGGTCAGGAGACGGCTTAGAAGTGTCGTTGAGTAGACCCGTCGTACTAGACCACCAGACACCTGTTCAAGGACAGGTGATTTTTCAGCATATCGTCACGGAGGAAACCACATGTATTGACATATTGGCTCAGACGATCGTTTGCACTGTTCGCAAGGAAACCCTGGCGGCTGATAATGAGGAGTGTGAAGAGTTCGAAGGCGTTTCTAGACCTTGGATGTAAAAGATTTTCATTTCGAACAGTACGGCAACATTTACATCCGTACCAATCTTGGGGAAACCAAATTTGGAGTATAGCCAGTCCCTTTTCCCATTCTTCAGAACTTTCTATCTTCCTCAAGTTTGTGCTTTACTTAAGTATTCGGTCTCGGCCTAAACGAACAGTCATCCATGTGGTACTGCTGGTCGAGAAAGTCGGATTTCGCTTGTTTTGGACCCACAACTTTTTCATACACACTAGTTTACCTCTGACCTGTGCATATAAAATCCGATTCGGAAAACCAAGGTGCTGCACGAGATCGCTCTTGGTCCATGAAGACATTACAGCGGCTGGCGGTCAAGAACGTGCTGTGGTTGGGGGGGGCTTTGATTGAGTATTGTACAGCAAGCACAGGTGTGGACTGTGGCGGTAAGATCCGTAATACTTTCACTGATCAACTACCTACAGGTGCTAGTAGTATGTGCCAATGTTACAACTTCCTTTGCAGTTGAATATTCAACACTGATGCCCTCCAGACCAAGACGTGCTTTTCCTGCGTGAAAAGTTACTTCGAACTTGTACAAGGATTACGAGAAAACTCAATCACACGATATACCGCCACAGTTGGCCGGCAACACGTGGGGGCTCGCACAGCACTTGTTCATTGTCTTGGCTTGTGCCAGCGCGCGATGGGATAAAGGCCAGCTTCTGCTGGGGCCGATCGACTAAAGACTCAAGGTGGACCCCACTCCCTCCGTACCTGTCATCCGCACATCGTTAACCTAATGCCTGCCGTTCGGTCTCGAGCATTGGTTGCGGGTCCCACTCCGCTCAAACATGTTGATTTCATCCTCAATAGCGCCGCAGTAGCTGGTCTCTTAGGTGGCGAAGAGGCCCTTACGTCCATGGCAGCTGTTCACGTCTTCGGTGGAAAGACATGGCTGGGGTGGTACAATTCCCCCGGTTCATACACCATGGGTCTACGCTTCATGCAACTCGCTCGATCAGCGGTCCCTGCATATGATGATGGCGAGGTGCAGGCCGATCTGGCAACGCTGTTCGAGTACAATGGTTGGAGGGGACCCAAGTTTACAGCTGTCCATTCTGGAACTATCATGCAAGACACGGGTCATATTGCTGCTTTGTTGATGAAGGAATGCGCAGAACTAGGAGCAGCTGCCATTGCGGGGGGCAGAAAAACACAATCTTTTGGCGTTACTATTGCAAGGCTTCGTAGCCCGCCCAAGGCTAGTGTAGAGGTCCCGTCCCCCAGACCTTACGTCGTCTTCTTCGCCAGCATACCGATTCTCGTCAGCGTTTCCACCTGCGTCCTCTCCGCCGTGTACCAGGACTGGTACGGCTTTGCCATCATTTTCTTTGGTATCATTGCCAACGGCTTTGCTTCTATGGTGATCGGCTTCGGTAAATTCCAGTTCACTCATCCAGAACCTGCACCTGGTTCACCTCCTGGAGATGGCATTCTTGGTTGTGACGAGGGCATTGTTTTGTTAAAAGGAGCAGAGGGAGCGGTCAATGCGGTTACGCGGGGAAGGTTCTTCTTACTCTTCGAGTCCAAGGATGCTTCCCGAAACTTGAGGATCTGCTCCATCCTTCTCATCACTCAGTCTCTCGTGATGTTAATCCTCATATCACAGAGTTCATTCTTTGGCCAATTGATGTTCGTCATTTCTTTGGCCACTTCTTGGGGGTACAACCTGTGGCTCTGGACCTTCGACAAGGAGAAAATCCAGCGCGAAATATTAAGAAAGGTCCTTGGGAAACCAAAACTCACCAAATTCATCCTCAGGACTCGCACTAGCATGCTCGTCTTCGTCGCCCTCGCCCTAAAACTGACGGACGCTAAGGAGATCACGAAGGTTTTCCTGGTTCCCGACACTTTAGTGTGGGACAAGTGGAAGAAGATTGTGATCAAGGGTCTCAGGGATGAGCGAAATCTTGAATTCGAGGATGCGGATTGGAACTGTGACGGTTTCTCTGTGGAGCAGAAGACCTTGTTGAAGACGCTTCTTGAGGATGCCATGGTAGCATACAAGCTTTTCGATGAGCACAAGGGGGAGATTGTTGTTGACGAGAAGGAGGTTGTTGGTAACGAGGAGACTGTTGGTAGCGAGAAGGAGGTTGCTGGTTGAGCATCACAGCAGGGCATGGGTAGGAATTCCATGATATCCAATATCAATCGTACACGCGTGACTTTTTTCTTATCGGCACGAGCATATATATATACCCAGTAGAGTAGTGGTAGTCATGTCTTCTTGCTGACGCTTCGCTGTCCTGTCTTATTGCTATCTCATCGCTTGTCTCATCGGAATTACTATAGTTTATACTCATACATATCTGATACAATGTTTCACTATCTGACCCCACAAGTAACTATCCTCGCATACCATGCTCTTTTGCTCTTCACAAACTATGTCATACCATGACCATCCCGTCCAATCACTCCATCGTGCAGCAGAGAATGGACGATGCTGGCCTCCCCGAGATACGCTATACTTTGCCCTTCCGTGCCCGCGATACTCCGCTGCGCTGCTTGTATCGCATTTACGAATGGGCAGCGATCGGTCGACTTCATCAAGTTGGATGTGAAACATAGTATTTCTGGGACGAGACGTCATGGAAGGTGGAAGACATACCCGATTCCGTGCGATATGTTATTCTTGCAGGCTTCGCAGAGATCATGGTTATTTGCTTCAATGAGCGGATCAATTTGGGGTTGTTGAGGATGGGAAGCGATGCAGTGTCCAACCCTCTCTCTCTCTCTCTCGATGCAACTCAGGCGTTCGTTGGGCTGCGAAGAATTCATCTTGTTCACGAAGGAGTACCACGAGAAAGCCCGGAGCTGGACTGTAGGCGTTCGAGGGCCTGCAAAACGTTTCAGCTTTCAGTCAGATATCTTCAGTGGGGAAAGTGTCACCAGCCGCAATATGGACTGGATTTAATTCGAAACAGTCTGACAACGTCAGTTCATTCTCTCTTCGTCGTCGATTCCACGGCTTCTTTCTCGGGCACGCGCAAGCTTTGGTAGAGAAACAAGTGCCAGGGATATAACACTAGTATGTAGCTCAGGTCAATAGCGCAGAGTGAACCAGCTTCTCCAGCTTGTACCTCAGTGAGCGTTGTCATACAATAGCAAGCGCAGCTCGTCCTTTAGAATGCGGGCGAGAATATCCGTAAGCGATCAACCAAAACAAAGACCAGCACATGCGATCCCGCCGCGATGTGAGACTCCGAGCAGCGAGCCACGGCATCGCCCACTCAGATTCCTCCATTCCCAAGTACTCCATGAAAGCCGGATAGAAGCCCGAATGACTCCAGTCAACAAGCCATAGACGGCCGCCCGAATCCAGGATCATGCTTCACGGGGCTGGGTCTCAATGGACCAGAAGGTGTTCGCGAGGTGGAGATAGCAGACGTTGTGGGGGGGTAGGTAGTTGGACGGCCGGGCCTTCACGAACCACCAATTGAGATAGTCGCAGAAAAGAGAAGGCGAAGCGTGTGGTACGGGGCCGTTGATCCCTTGGATCCACTCCGAATGAACCCGGCTGGGGTGTTAACCTTCAGTCTTCTGCGAAGTGACGGTGCGCAGAGCAGATACGAACGACCTGAGCTGCCGAGGGATGTGGACGGTGGCCCATAGTCCGAGACGCGGCCATAGCTGCTCCATGGTCTCACCATGTATATGTTTCATGGCGATAAAATGGTCTTCTTCTGGAAGAGGTAGTATACGGCGTATGGCGGGCACGTTTACACCGACTGAGCGTACCTTCTCAACGCGTCGATTTTGCTGCGGCGATTCTCAGGGCACGGAACTGACATTGCCACCAGGTTATGTGTGAGAACGCAAACCGATTCCGTGCGTGTGGTGGTGAGAATATGTGACTGGTTAACATGATATACGACTTCTTCGTCAGTACACATGTCGAGCAAGGCTTCGTCGAGCTCTGAGTTTGGCATGGAAGATGTCATGCTGATGGCAGATATCTGGTTAGTGTACGTCATCATAAAGAAAAGGAGGGCACAGACCAGGATGATATGGTGTCTGCAGACTGGAGCGAAAGTTGCAGGGACAACTTTTTGGTGGTTCGCGTGAATCCTCCGAGTCGGCATGCACCTTGACTTTGCCCCCCGTCAATTCCCGACGTCGTCAGCTTGCAAAATCCGTGTTACTAGTATCATGCATCCTGTCGTGATACAATTCGAGTGCTGGTAAAAGGTGAGAAACGAGTTTTATGACGAACGTTCAACATTTTTACACGACCACTCGGATTGCCGATTGGCCTTCTTCGGTCTCACTGCCTCCTCCGTCCGATTCGAATGGGGTACGACAATGACGAAGTCGCTGTACAAGGACTATTGGCGTTTCCAAAGTCGGCAACGTCACTCGACTCACGGTAGTCTTATTCTGTGCACGTCAGGGTACCCGTCCTCGCGAGTATGGTTACGCATGACATGCCTGAGTGGCTAGTATTATTTGTTGTACCACTCTCAGCCGGACAAGGCTACATGTCTATCACCGTGCAGGTCGTCGCCCTGCAAGCTACGCTCATACGTTATTCTGATACTCTTCTGGAACAGTGGGGATCATTCATGGACCATTCTTTCCCTGTCTCTGAGCTCAAAATGTCATCCGACAAGGGATGCCGGCACGAGGCAGCGCAAGCCCTACAAATGCATATGCCATGCTTCGGTGGGTATCAACGTGTAGTAATTGGAGCAAGGCCTACACCAGGCTGGGTCATCGTTGACCGCCAAGGTTTAAGTTCGTCCATCACTCTAAAGTATTCCATCGTCTCACAAAGAACGTGTCTGATCACATGATGAGCGGTCTTTGATTGATGCGGCTTGGCGTTCCATTACAGATGGCCAAGCTGTGCCCGGAAGATCGGTCACAGTGATAGGCTACCTTTCTAATGCCCAGAACCCTCGGAAAGCGAAACTCTCCCTAGCACAAAACTCAGCAGGGTACGTTTTTTCTGTTGATTCCAGTCCACTGACCCACTGTCTCTCAGGTGACCGTGTGGCGTGCGTTCACGGCAACTTTGAATTGTGCCGGACGAAGTACTGGTCTAGGGGCTGAACGGCGATGGTTTATCCGGCATCTCCAGATGCCAAATACCTACGTAGGCCTTATCGATGTTTCTCGTGTTGATGTCATGTTGAGCTGTCGTTCGGCTTTGCAAACCTGCCTGGAGGTGTTGCATTCAGGTAATAATTCGAGCGCCAGAAGCGGGCGCCCACATAGGCTGCAAAGCGATGACATAACCAATGGCAAAACAGCAGGAAGCTGGATGAAGACCTCATGATCATGTGGTGGTGTGGTAAGCGCGCGAACTGCACCCTGCAGGGGTCATGTGTATTGGAATGCATCGAATTTCGTACTCACGATCATTCCTAGAATATATGGCTTGGGGGACTCATTGGCAAAGCCGCCGCTGCTCAGCTTTACGTTGAGCGTCACGTTTTACCCTTATCAATCGCAAATACTAGGTGGGAATATCCCTGTCTAAAGTCGTCCGGACGGCTGATTGCATGGTACAATGTAATAATTTGTTGGATGGCATACACGTGTGATAGTCCATCTTGCATTTATAAATCGCCCTTGAAGACTCAATTCATCAGCCCCGCAACGCGCTTCGTACGTCTCTTCCTCATCCGTCCGCGAGTTAAAAGGTCCTGCAACGACTTGGGCAGCAGTCGGTTACAGTTGGTACTCTTGGCGTACGCTCCGATATCCCTACAATGTACATTCCCCCGCTTTCCAACGCCATCCAAGCCCTCCCTCGTGCTATGGTAACTGGCCACACCCCACTCGAAAACACCAAGTTTGTTCTGAATAGCACTGGTGTAGCTGGTCTCTTCGGTGGTGAAGAAGCTGTCGCATCCATAGCTTTGGTTCACGTTTTCGAAGGGAGAAGATGGTTTGGCTGGTACAACTCCCCTGGATCCTACATTATGGGGATGCGTTTTAGCCGGCTGGCCAGTTCGGCTGTTCCTTCATTATCCCGAGATAAGCGGAAACAGGTGCAAACTGACCTGGGCTCGCTCTTCGAGTATAACGGCCGGAAAGGCCCCAAGTTTAGAGCTGTTCACTCTGGAGCTACTTTCCAGGAAACGGGTCATCTGGCCGCTTTGTTCATGAAGGAGTGCACAGAGTTGCACGCCATCCCGATCGAGGGCAGGCAAACCCAGCCTGTCAGCGTCACCATCGCCAACCTCCATCACGTTCCCCGCCATGAGGAATGTCCCACGTTGCATAGGCGTCGTGCTCCTTTCTACTGCTAGCGTACCCATCCTTGTCAGCTTGGGCACGTGTGTAGCGTGCGGCTGGTATCACGATTGGTTCTCTTTCGTAGTGATCTTGTTCGGCATCATCGTTAGCGGCATATCGTGTCTTGTAATCGGCTCTGGGACGTTCCGCTTTACGCATCCAGAGCCAGCGCCAGGCTCGCCTCCGGGGGACGGTATTTTAGGCTGCGAAGAAGGAATTGCCCTGTTAAAGGGCCAGGAGGGTGCTGTCAATGCGGTTACGAGGGGAAGGTTCTCACTACTTTTCAGGAGCAAAGATGCTCGCCGAAGTGTCAGGCTTATTCGAATGTGCTCTATCATTCTTGTGATTCAGGCCATCGCACAGCTGATCCTCGTCCCTCAAAGTTCACTCTTTGGGCAATTCATGTTCGTGGCTTCTGTGGCAGTCTCATGGTTGTACAACTTGTGGTTGTGGTCCTTCGATAGGGAGAAAGTTCAGAGAGATCTTCTGATGAAAGTTCTCGGCAAACCACTCCTTCCAAAATACGTTTTGGGCACCCGCACTAGCATGGTGATATTCGTTCTCCTAGCTTTGGACCTGGACGATCCCGAAGATATCATGAATTTCCTCCTGCCTCCAAGCACTAGGGCTTGGCAAATATGGAAGGCGGCCGTCATTAGGCGACTTAGGAGTCACAAAAAACTCGAGTTCGACGCCTCCGACTGGGACGATTCGTCCCTGTCAGACAAGGAGCGACAGATGTTGGAGACGCTCTTCAAGGACGCCCAGGATGCGTATGAAGGCTTTAAGAAGCACGAAGAACAGATACTTTCCTATTCGAAGATACAATAACTTGTTTCTGCGATCTATTTACATGATTTCTGTTTACCACGGTGGAACAATGGGAGAGAGCCTCCGAGCGATGAGCTGAGCTCGTGGCAAGCATTAGGATGATGTATCTGACTCCTCGTCCATCCGACTAGACATCATGTGGCTGTGTCCCTACCTCCTGTCCCCAAACCTCCCTGGTAGTACTTTGTTCCCTGCAGTAGCTCACATGGATCGTTTATTCGAACATTTTGCTACCGTCTGACCCCAGCTGGCTCATCAGGTCGCTAAGCCCAAACATAACTTCTCGCCAACGGTCGATAAGTATGTCGATTCTTCGGCTCATCCCAATGAAATCACAGCTACTTACATACACACATTCCTTGATATCGAAGTGGTGTCGAGTGCCCGTACTGGGCGGAAAGTCCCGGCCCTACGCACAGAAAGTACACCCTATGATTGTGGGTAGTGCTAAACCGAAGGCAGTCGTGATGTTAACCGAACCTTCAAGCTTCAGTCTGAGACTGACTGTCCATCTTCTCCTTGTATGAAGGTAGGCTATTGCATGCGAATGTTGCAAGAGGAGTCAGACGGACAGAAGTACTGTCAAGGAGCCTTGTCTATTAGTTCTTATGAAAATCCTGTTCGTACCAGCTTCGATACGTGTACGATGGATCGGACGCCGATATCGCCCACAATATGTCCAAGGAAGGCTACTTGCAGTAAGTTCTGGAGCCCTACAGCCGCATCTTGGCTGGCTGTAGGTGTCACCCAACTTGCCAGCGCTGAAATCATTACATCAATTGCATGCACTGCAGAGCCTGGCACATATTTTATTCAGTGATGACTGTGTCGGTGACTGTAAGTCTAACGAGCATTGTCACCAGATTGTCACCGTCCATGACAAATTTTGTGACTTCGCAACTGGGACCTGTACTTGTTTCGCTCATGCTTTCAGGCACCCTGTATGGATGTGCACTGGTGCAAACCTGCGTATACTATAAGCTGTTTCCAAAAGATAGCTGGGAACTCAGGGCCTTGGTATGTTACCCATGCACTTTGTTTAATGGCTCAAGTTCCTTGTATTTCCACCGATTCGCTTTATTGTCCTACATATTTGTTTAAGGTCGCGTCTGAGATGTATGCAGCATTAATTCCTCTATTTTCTCTGACGTCCTGGGTAGACCGCTCCTCATCAATACTCTGTTCCTTGCAGTAACTTGCATGGATAATTCACTCAAATGCAGACCAGATTTCAACATGAGGATGACTGCTTGAGCCTCGAACGTGAACGACTCAATCGGGACTCCTGGAACATTTGTCTCTGGACCGATGTCGGGGATTGAAACCGGACTCGGACCCGAGTCCGTGTGTAGTTGCTCACCAATTTTATATCAAAGTTGTGCTTCTTCTATAGTACGGTCTCGGTAAACATTTGATCCCAGACTCATCAGACCAATAAGGCCAAGCATAACCGTTCTTGCAGCTCGCCAGCAGTCGACTCTTCACAATGTTTACTGAATACAGACAGATATACAACAGAGACTGAGGATGATATTGTTGGAAATATTTAATAGTTCTGATCATCTAGACACATCTAGACTTACACATTTTCATACACATGTAATGTCACATGACATGCTCAGTCATGCAGCTCCACAATGACATCAGTGTGGTATCATTCACTATGTCATGTTCCATGACATTCTCCACTATTTCTTACCTTACATAGTAGTACCTTCCTTTTATGCTACTGGTCCATGCATAGGTCTACATGTATATAAACTTGGGGATTTCTGCTGTACTCCCCATCATTCTACCCATAGAACAGTCTACTCTGTTATCAAGCCCCAGCTCTAACTCAGAACTACTACTTCAAATCTACCACTTCAATCAAGTATAAAGGCAAGTGTTCTGTCTTGCTCTTCATCCCTTCCCATTCCTCTGTGCAATAGGTTATGAGCCCCACCTTCTAGGTGTGTGAGCTATTTACTTGATTTGCATAGATTGATCACTGCTGACAGGCATATCACTATGGATTGAGTAGGCCTAGATGCACTCAGTTGGGTGGTAGTCACCTTTGTATTGTCACTTCTTGCAGGCTGTTATCAGTCCATTTTATTAGTTTACTATGGAGAGTTTGGTGCAGGTGATTTGCATAGGTTCTTTGTCACTTCAATGACATTCTGGATGATGCTACTTGGACTTCCTACCTGGCTTCAAATCTATCAATGCTACACAGCCAGGATCACAGAGCTAGAAGCTGATGCTCTATTTGCTGCTCATGGAGAGCTACACCATGTTTTATTTGCTAGACATATGCTTCCACCTCTGCCACCTCATTACTTACACTTTCATCTTCACAATATTGATCGAGAACCAGACTTGGATCCCATACCTCCTTATATGGTTGAAGGTGTGGTCAATCCCCTGCCTCCTTGCTGTGCTCCAATGCCTGATCATCAGGAGATTGAGGAGATGAACAAGATCCTCACTGAAGACCTCCTTCATGGAGGTGACTTCATCACTGAGGAACTTCTCATGGTCAATCCTGACCTCACCAAGTTTGAATTACTTTAATCTTGTTTGTCTTCAATTCAATCAGTTATGGGAACTAATCTATTTGCTACAAGAATGTCTCTTGTTGTCACAAAGTGTACCAAAACTCAAATCACTGAACATCATGATGGAATGTATGAGGGGGCAAAATGGAGAAAGTATGCAGTAAAGGAAGTTATTGAGTATATGGAGATGTTGTATGTTAGAGATCATGTGTCTTGGAGAGAGGTGGTACCTTTGTCTATGGCATTCTTCAAAAGGCTGAATCCAGCTACCTACCTGGTCCCATTAACCATCATCAAAACCTCTTGGGAGGTAATGCCACACTTCCCAGGATTCAACTCACCTTACTTCTGTCCTGGCATCCACATCTCCTATCATGGCTATTTCACTGACTTCATTCCTAAACTCACCCATTCATCTTTGCCACATGCAATTGCTAACTTTAATGGTTGCAATTTGCCTAGTGTTACTTATAAAGATCCTGCACTATTCACCATCCCCACATCAACCATCACCCATGACACCTTCATCTACATCATGTATAACACCCATGTCCTCCACAACTCCAGAAACCCATTCTGTGGGCTCATCCTGCCTCTTCAGGTTTGGCACAAATATCTTGAGTGCCATTTCCAAGGAACTTGGGTTGATGGAAGCACCAACATCATGTGTGTCCCCAAGTGGTTCCATCAAAGATGAAGAGGAGGAGACTGGTTTGACAGCGAGCTACTTGCTTTCATGCAGTGACTTAAAGGAGAAGCCAATATGGGTCATGTCATCAGATATGAGAAGTCTAGCCAACATCTTGGATGGGTTGATGGAACTGGTAACAGAAACATCTCTTACTGGCCCTCTTTGGAGGATGTTTTTAGGGACCTTGAATGTACCATTCAGGAAGGAACTTTTGATTATTTCATGCAACCATGAAGCTGCCTCTCACCTACCAATGCTCTTGCATGAGCTTGCCAATCTCATGCCACTCATGCACAATTATCCTCTCCCCAGTACAATGGACATACTGTAATGTGTCCAGAGGCCATTACCATGAGGAAACTGAGGATTGTATTTTAGATGAGTCATATAATGTTCTTGAAATACTCATACAATCTCATTGCCCTGGTTTTTGTCTCTATGATTACTTTCCAATTCCTTATAGTTGCAAGAATCCTTACTTAGGATTCACTGATGATTGTCCTATACACAATGTCAAGTGGAGCTTCTTTGGGTACCACTATTCTGGTCCCTTAGATTTTGATCTCCTTGAATGCAACAACTCTCGCATCCCTTTATGGTGATTTGCTGAGAGAGGAATTGAAGTAATGAAAACTTGGCACAATCCTTGTCCACACATTCTGAAACCTTGTCATAACCTGAAAGTCACAATCTGCTAGAGCTGCTGCTTGCAGACCGAAAATGCACTGCAAATCATCTATTGAATCCCCCAAATTTGACTCTACATCCTTCAAAATCATTTTTATACGATCATCTAATTCTGGACCTCTATTAGATGTTCAAAGGTCTTGGAAAACAAATTCCCAAACTTAATGGCCTTAATTATGCCTCATGGTTGGTTCTTATGAAAGTGTATTTCCAAACACTTGGCATCATGGATATCATTTCTGGTGCAAAGCCAAAACCCATGGACATTGCACAGCAGGAGCCTTGGGTTATCTCTGATACCTGAGCTCAAGGGATTATTACTTTATATTGTGATCCAATGATTGTAATGTCTATTGATGGAAAAGACACCTTCTAAAACAAAATGGGATGAACTAAAGGCTAAATATGGCAATCCCTCTGCCATGACAACTTTTATGGAGTTTCAGAGGTTGATCTGAATCCAGATCAAGCCCAAAGATGACATCATGGTTAAATCTCTGAGATCACCATGATAATGGCTGCCATACATGGCCAAGGAATTGATCTGAATAATAAGATGAGAGCTCTCATCTTAGTTTACTCCATGTCCCAAGCCTGGGATCAGGCACCCATCAATATCCTTTCCTCCATTGCTGCCAACCAATTATCTCCAGATATGGTCATACCAAGAATGAAAGAAATCTGGGCACATAAATCAGGAAAAACCCTGTTGCCACAACAGGAAAAAGCATCTACTTCAGGAATTATGGTTAAGCAAGAATCAAATTTGCTTCTTGCTAGGATGAACAAACCCTTGCTCTGTAATATTTGCAGAGGCTCTCATAATACTCAAGATCACAGAGGAGGAGGATCAGGATCTTTCCATAGAGGTTGAGGTGGTCAAGGTCAAGGAGGTTCTCATCATGGACATGGCAGATATACACCTTACCCACAACAACAACAACAGCAGCAAGGTTCCTCACAGAACCAAGGTGGTGGTAACCAAAACTGCCATTGTGGCAAAGGCAAGGGCAAAGCCCAAGCCTCTGCAGTTGAAATTGAAGGGGAAGGAGCTGAAGCAATTAATTTTGCTTCTGTTCAGG